TATTTATTTATTATTATTTTTTTGGTACCAGGGATTGAACTTGGGTCCTTGCACTTGCACAGCAGGCAGCCAAACCACTGAGCTAAATCCCCAGCCCCAAAGCTAATATATTTAATTACCACTGGTGAACTAATGAAACTTAATTGGAATATATTCATAATTTAAATGCCAAAAAATGCCCAGAATGAATCTTGGAAACATAATAAGTGGTATAAGCAAAATCAAAAAATTATTTAAGTATCCTACATATGGCTTTTTTTTTTTTTCCTCCTGAGACAGGGTCCTGCTGTGTAGTTTAAGCTGGCCTTGAACTCACAGCAATCCTCCTGCCTCAGCCTCTCCAGTGCCGGGATTACAGGCATGTGTACCACCATGCCCAGCTCATACATGACATTTTAAAAAAGCAGTTTTCAAAAGGCAAGAAATAAATCCATGTACATTTTTTTTTTTTTGGGTACCGGAGATCGAACTCAGGACCTTGCACTTGCAAGGCAGGCGCTGGAACCACTGAGCTAAATCCCCAGCCCTCCATGTACATTTTTAACTTGTGAGAAATAGGTGGAATGATAGGACAGGGGAGAAACTCACAAATATATCCAAATTACCCAAAGTGTTTCAGGTTCTGGGTTGGTACTAGTTGGTGTTATATACTATTCTAAATATAAAATTACATTAATACTGTAGATTTTTTATGTTATTAGAAAAAATTATAAAAACAGAATGACTTCCTATTTCTCTTAGGATTACTTATTAGGTTCTACTAGTTCTAAACAATCCTGTCTCATTTGTCTCAAGCCTCTCTTATGTCTGCTTTCTACTCAAGATATAATGACTAGTTCCTCCTTGATAAGGTTTTTCTTACCTTCAGCTCTCATACTTGTTCACACACAAATTCCCTACCTCTGACTCTTGGAAATGATAAGACTGCCTTTTATGCCTTTGATGTTACCTAAATGTTTTCCCTGACAATTTTTATAAAAATCAGTCACCTCCTTTATTTTTGTCATTCCTTTTGATACCTTCATAACTAATATCTTAATTTATAACTTCATATATCTTTGCCTTTTTTCTGTCTTTACTCACTGCATTTTAAGATTTTTTTTTTTTTTGGCAAGGCATTATTTTAAAAACATACCAAACATACAGCTTCCAACATAAAGTATGGGCCACAAATAAGAAGCTGCACAGTCTTAGCTAATATTCATTAAACTAACAAAAATTTTTAAGGACCTATTATTTACTAGGCATAAAGTTACATGCAGGAGACAGTGGACAGGCTATAGATGTCAGCTTGTTAGTCACACAGTATCTGTCATGTGGTAGGGATTCAACAAATAACTGCTGAAAGAAAAAAAATAAACATATTGACAGATACAAATTATTCCACATTCCTATTTCTGCAAAGTGTTAGAATATCTGCAAGCTACTGTAGTACTAAGAAACAGAACTCTCTCTTTATCTGACAGCACCCAATACAAAGGTCATGAAGACAGGTTTTATCCTCAGTATTGTAAGGCCAGGTGGATGGATGATTCTTCTTTCTTGTTCTTAATTATTAATTCTCAGTATACAATGGACTTAGGTCAAGCTGGGGTAGGAGAAAGAACACACCAATTTCCTCATTTCATCGACTCTGAGACACAGCTTATTAAGTCACATCTCAATTTTAGAAATATGGAAAAATTGTTTTAAAAACTGATAAAAGGGCCAGGGATTTAGCTCAGTGATTTCGTTGCCTGCTGCACAAGCGCAAAGACCCGAGTTCGATCCCCGGTACCAAAAAAAACCCAAAACTGATAAAATATGGCATTATATAGTGATTCTCAAAGCTGTAGCTACCTCAGTATGTTTTTAAAATTTCTCTTTTTGGGGGGTGGGCAGTACTGGAGATTGAACCTAGGGTCCTGGCACTGAACTGTATTCTCATCCCTTTTTTAAATTGCTTTGTTTGTTTGTGGTACTGGGGATCATTTTAAATATTAAAACAAGAACTTGCTAAATAAATTTTCCAGGTTGGGCTGGAACTTGTGATCCTCTTGTCTCACCCTCCTAGAGGGCTGGGATTATAGATATGCCCCGCAACAACCAGCTTTAACATTTCTTAATAATGTCAATATGGATGAGCCATACATTTTTTGCTGCCTCACTTAAAAAACCAGGAAAAATCCCATTTTATTTTTTTCCTGGCTGAAAGGGGAAAGCTGAATCAGATGATCACTTCCAATGTCAAAGAATAAGAGTTTTCCTTTTATGAACCATTTTAATATCAGCTACATTAACTTTAAATCACCAACAGAAGATGCTAAAGTAGGCAATATCACTTATGATGGATTATATCCAAGTATCAAATATGTGCTCTTAGGCAATTACTGTGATAGTTTCTAATAAAGTTTATAAATGCAAATTAAAAATTAGCATCCTCAGAAGATAAAACAGATAACAAATACATGGCAGCCTATCCAATAAAATTTGTGGAATATAAATATTTTTGGCTTTACCTATTTATTTAATTTTTGGGGGGCGGTACCAGGGATCGAACTTGACCTTGCGATTGCGAGGCAGGCGCAGTGCCACTGAGCTAAATCCCCAGCCCCTGGCTTTACCTTTTTAAAAAGCAAACCAAGACCTCATGACTTGCTGACTAACTTCCCATCTTTATAGAATTTTTTTTCTTTTTTTTGGTACCAGGGATCAAATTTAGGACCTTGCGCTTGCAAGGCAGGCGCTGGAACCACTGAGCTAAATCCCGGGCCCCCTATCTTCCCATCTTTAAACAGTGCACCCGATGGCAGATCCTGTCCTGGACTCCCATTACTGTTCTTCCTCACCTCCCATGAAGAAAACGAGTACCACTGGCTGCTTCCATCCATATGCACAGTGACTGAGAGGCATGTGACTCTATCCCTAATGTGTGTGTACCTCAACTTACATTTTTGTTTTGAATTTCTATAATTCTTTCCTCCCAAAACAGCTTTCTTCTCTTTCACCTAGTAGGGAGCTCACATTATATAATAAATACATTTCAAGAAATCTTATTTTAGGGAAAACGAAGAAATTGAAACTTCAGCTTTAAATTCTATTACGACACTAAGACTTAAAAATATATAGCTTGGAGAAATTATACTTTATAGGCATTACTACTGTTTTGACCTAGGTTATCTATCTTTGACAGAAAAAGTGAAGAATGCAGGTCTCGTAATTTTTATTTTCTTTATTTTTTGCAGTGCTAGGGATGGAACCCAAGGCCTTGTGCATGATAATAAATGCTCTACCACTGTGCTACACTCCTAACTCCTAAAACATGATTTTTTTTCTTTTGGACAAAATCTCACCATGTTGATGACAAAGATGACCTCAGAATCCTAGGCTCTAGACATCCTCCTGTCTTATCTTTGCCAGCAGCTGGGATTACAGGGATATGGCACTAAAACACTTTTTAAGTAAGTGTTTGACCATCTTACAGTGTGAATTTCTGTTTCATAGGGGAGGGGGAGCACATTCAGAAGGTAGCCTGGGACAGTTAGGCTTATTAAACATAATCTCATAGAATACTAACCTCAAAATTACTACAATCATGATAAAAATGAGACAAAGTAAATCCATTCTGTAATTTATCTAAACAAAGGACATTAAGCCACAATGCAACCCACAAAATACCAAATATCTCCCTCTTTTGCTGAACAAACGAATGCTACTGGGAGGGGGGCAGCAATGGGGATTGAACTCAGGGCCTTTGCACTGAGCTATATCCCAGATCTTTTTTATTTTAAGACAAGGCTCTTGATAAGTTTTACAGGATAGGTTTGAACTTGTGATCATCCTGCCTCATTGTATGAATGCTACTTCTCTACCCAAGCAGATCACTGCCACCAGAGACTCTCCCTTAAATCAGTCTCTCTCTCTTTTTTTTTTTTTGGTACTGGGGATTGAACTTGGGACCTTCCGCTTGCAAGGCAGGTGGTGGAACCACTGAGCTAAATCTCTGGCCCTAAATCACTCTTTTACTGAGAGACTCCAGTTGCAATGGAGTATGATGTCCCTTGATGAAATAAACCCAAGTTGTCCAACTACAGGTATATTCTTAGTGGTCTTTGGTTGGAGGGTACAGGAAAATAAAACAAAAAATAAAACTTAAAAAGATTTCAGGATGTTACTCGTAGTCCTAGGAGGGAGTAATAAAAAATATTTAAACATCTCCATTTACTTAGAAAATGGTTTTACGGAAAGCAGTCAGCAAAGCTTTCAATTTTAGCAAATGGCACAAATCTAGCCAAATTTCTCCCTTTTGGTTAAAGGCAAAAAGAATGTTTTAAACTCAATATTCAGCTGAGCATGGGAGTGCATGCCTATAACCCCAGCACCCATGAGGCTGAGGCAGGAGGATCGCCGCAAATTCAAGGCCAGCCTGGGTTACATAGTGAGACTGTGTCTCAAAAAAACAAACAAAGAATTAATCAATCAAGCAAATTCTTCTATGTCACTAAATCTTATTTTTGAGCAAAGTAACCTTTCCTACAGAATATTTTCTAGACCACCAGCATCACAGTTGTTTTGTTTAATCCTCCCTGCCCATACACACACATACACACACACACACACACACACACACACACACACACACACACACACACGGGACTGAATGCAGGGAGTGCTTAGTTAAACTCTCAGCTCTTTCATACTGAGACAGCATCATACTAAGTTGCCCAGGGTGGCCTCGAACTTGCAATCTTTCTGCCTCAGCCTTCTGAGTAGCTGGGAATATGGGCATATTTCTGGGCCTATACCCCAGTAATGACTTTATTCTACACTGACTTAAAAAAATGAAATTAGAAAGGGATCTGGTTTTCTGTTTGCAAAGTTAAGAACCTTACATGGTTCACTAGGAAACTGCATTAATTTTCATAAAACAGCATATTCACTACATATAAAAATTCCAACAAAGTATTTTTAAAGTGAATGCTTCACCTCATAAACACATTAAAAAAAAACTATCACATTTACATTCTTACTCACGCTTCATTAAGAGGTACAAAAATAAAATCCTTCTCAAAAATATCTACATGCCGGGTCCACGTTTTTACTCTCCCATGTCGTTTTTGTTGTATTCTGTTAAGAAAGAGATAAATTATAAGCTACTGAAAATCTTTATTTTAGCTTACATGCAGTGATTTATAAATTATGAAAATTCAGATACAAATGCTCAAATGGTTATATAAGATGGTTTAACAAGACGGAAAAAGAGAATACAACTTCTTAAACTAGGACAGCATAGAACCGCCCATCATTGAATCTGGAGGAGAGATATTTAATTTTTACTATATTCTAGGGGTCCCAGGGATTTTCTTGCCTGGATTTCTCTACAATTTTTTTTTTTTTTTAAAATTCCTGCAGAATTGGTACTAGCAATATACCGAGAGGTGTATCAGACCAAGATTTATTCTAACTAAGGAGAAGAGACCAGGAAAAGTAAACATTATCTGACGGTAGGTGAAGCAGGGTAGATTATGAGCACTGGCCAAAAATCAATGACTATTAAAGATGCAAAATTACAAACTGCTGAAATAGTAGAAAATATTATTTATATCATGCACAGCAACCATCAATTCAAGACATTTAATGGTAGTCAGAAGAAAAGGTACCAACTATTGTGCATATTTTGACCAATCATCAGCAAGTGTTAGAGCTAGATTCTATTACTGTATGGAGAGCCATTGTGTGACATGCAGAACATTATTTCCTTAACTTGTCTGAGAAGAATCATCCAAAAGAGCTTTTTAAAAGTACAGATTCACAGGTTCCGCTAAGTAATTTCTAAAAAAAAAAATCAGTCATTGTTGGAAAACACTGTTCTAGTCTAAATTTTAAACCTCTAACATTTATAAATTCCAGGAGTTCTGGCGATATTAGAATGTTATGAATTATACTCTTTTAGCAAAAAAGCATTAGAACTAAATGAAGTTGCCTTATATAAATACATGATCTCTTCAATTACACCCTAAAACTAGTGAAGATTATTTAAGGTAGCTGAACATGAATTTGTGAAAAATGAAAATTAATCCGATTAATGTGGAATATTCGCTTACTGGCTTTTAGAATTTAAGATAGAAGCAAGTTAACCACAAAGATCAGTGTTTTCTTTCAAATACTGCTGGCCCTTCATTAAGCCAATTCATGAATCCATGAATTCAACTGAAGATAGAAAATATTTGCAGGAAAAACCCTGCCATCTGCACTGAACATGTACAGATTATTTTCTTTGTTATTACTCTTGAAGAACACAATATAACAACTACTTAATGGCATTTACATTGTATTCCGCGTAATCTAGAGATGATTTAAGATATAAAGAGGATGCCCATAGGTTATGCCATCTTGTACCCAGACAATGAGCATCTAGAAATTTGGGTATCTAACTGTGGAGCTGAGGAACTATGGAACCCATCACCCACGGATACTGAAGGAGAACTGTTAAGTGATATTTTTCACTAAATTAATCTTTAGTGGCTTACTACATCTGTTAAATATTTTCTGGGTCTGACTTACGACAGATTAGTTGTTTCATGATTTCTCCTCTCTCTCTGATTAAGGCGTTTGTAGAAAAAAGAACTAAATATATGAATTCGGTCAGCTTCTTCTTTCTTCAGTTTTTCAAGCACCAAATATCTATTTAAGCAAAAATAATTCCAATATAAGGGTTGTAACAGTTGACTTTATATTAAAAACAGGTAGTGATGAAATATTTATTTGGCTACCAGAAATCTCTATTCCTTAGCAACGAAAGAAGTTATTGACAAAATTTACTTCATATTCTCTCTGCCCCAGTACCAGGGATCGAACTCAGGACCTTGTGCTTGCAAGGCAGGTGGCGGTGCCACTGAGCTAAATCCCTGGCCCTACTTCATACTCTTGACAATGATAATTATCAGATTACCTTCAGTCCAGGACACTGAATAAATTGCTGATTTCTTTTTTTTTTTTTTTGAAACAGGGTCTCGTGTAGTTCAGGCTTGCCTTCAACTCACTATGGAGCCCTGGCTGGCCTCAAACTCACAGCAATCTTCCTGCCTCAGCCTCCTGAGTACTGGGATTATAGGTATGCACCACCATGCCCAGCCTAAATTGTTGATTTCTACAATAATACACTAAGAACAGAGTATGTAGTGAGCTAGCTTTAAATTCAGGGGTTATACCATAAAAAAGAGGAACCACACTATTTTTGCTAGCTCAAACTACAATGGCTACTTTATAAAAGTGAACTGAATAAGTACAGTGATAATCAAATTTTTATCAAAATGAATTTTAATCAATTTAAAAAGTAATGTGATTTAAAAAACTGACTATACTTCATATAAATAAATTCACACCTTTTCTATTATTTGTTTTATAATAATTTGCTTTATAATTCTAACTATAAAATATGAGTGGCTTCCTGAAAACAAAATAAGGATAAAGAAGTAATAAAATCTCTAGTGTAAGGTAAAAAGTACAGACTGTTTCAGTATAAAACAGACAAAACTAAAACCAAATACATAACTGGGCCAGGGATTTAGGTCAGTGGTTCCGCTGCCTGTCTTGCAAGTGCAAGGTTGCAAGTTCAATCCCTGGTACCAAAAAAAAAAAAAAAAAATGCATGACTTCAACTTCAGGTATACAAATAAACAAATAAATAAATATAAAGACTGAACAAAATACAGACTAACAAACCAGGACGATTACCAAAGAGTAAGAGATAAACTATGTAATTATAGAGGGGTAAATTCTTCAAGAAGAAATATGTACCCAAGTTTCAAAATACATTGGCTTCACAAACTGATAGATTTGAAAGGAGGAAAACAAATTCATAATCCTGGTTGGCGATTTCAATAACCCTTCTCAATAACTGAAAGATCAACCCAACTGGCCTATTTGACATTCATGGAATATTCCTTCCCATAGCAATGTTGTTCTATATGTTCACCATGGGCTTTTTGGTACTTGGGTTTCAAGGTAGTACAGTATATACATGTGGACTGAGATAACATTTTAGCATTATAATAAAAACATAAAATTTATCATCCTAAACACATTTTACATTGTTGTACAGAAGGTTTCCAGAACTTTCGCATCTTGTAAAAGTGAAACTCTAAATTCACAGACTCCCTTCTCCTGTCTCTTACTCTCTGGCAACCAATAATTCTATTTTTTTGTCTCTATGAATTTGACTAATCTCATATCTGTGAAATCACACATTTGTCTTTTCATGACTAACTTATTTCAGTTAGCACAGTGACCTCAAGGTTCAGTTAGCACAGTGACCTCAAGGTTCATATCCAGGTTACTGTAGTATATGATGGGATTTCCTTCCCTTATGAGAATATTCTATTATATGTATATACAGTACCACAATTTGCTTATTTATACATCAATGGACAGTAGAGTGGTTTCCATATCTTAGCTATTATGAATAGTGCTGCTATGAATATGGGTACGTAAGTATGTTTTCAAGACCTTGCTTTCCCTTCTTTTGGATATTTATGTAGCAGTGAGATTGCTGGATCATGTGGCAGTTCTATTTTTAATTTTCTGAGGAACCTCCATATTATTTTCTATAGTGGCTGCATTATTTCATAATACTATCAACCACAATCAAATTTATTCATTCTTGCTAATACTTGCTCTTTTTCTTTTTTTGATAATAGCCATCCTTATGGCATGCAGTGATATCATATTATGGTTTTGGTTTGCATTTCTCTGATGATTAGTTATGGTGGGCATCTTTTCATATTCTTATTGGCCATTTATGTGAAACACAGTTTTGTGTGTGTGTGTGTGTGTGTGCGTGTGTGTGTGCGTGTGTGTGCTGGGGATGAACCCAGGGCCTCACACATGATAAGAAAGTGCTCTACCACTGAGCTACAGCCCCAGCACCAAATATCATCTTTTCATCTAGCAATTAAGAGATGAAGAGCTTTCTTTGAATTTGTCCTTGAACGCATGTTAGGTTCCAAGGGGTCTTACAAAGTTAGGGGTATAAATCTAGGGCCGTTTCTTTTGTTGGACAGCACATGATACATTTTATTTCACTAAAGCATACTCCATTACCATTAAATCTTCAAAAGGAAAAACTGTGCTCTTGAAAAGTGAGTACAGTTAACCTGAATAGGAATATATGACTTCCTGATATGAAGTAAATTCTATTGGTTGATGGTGATGTTGAGTTCTTGTATATCCTACTGATTTTCTAATTGTCCTATATCAACTCTTAATTTTTAGTTCTTTTATTGGTACATTTTAGGTATACAATTCATTTACATTTATCATTGGGTGTTTGTACCTGTACATGATATATCTTGGTTCTTATTTTTCCCCCATTACCTGTGCGCCCTTCACCCCTTCTGCCCTTCCCTATTTAGACAGATTTCATTTCCATTTTTCTTTTCTTTTCTCATAGTTTTTCCTTTCCCTCTTTTCCTTTCCCCTTCCCTTCCCTTCACTCCTTCGTCTTTGGACCCTTTTTCCTATTTTAAATTATCAATTATTCATTTTAATCATTTTAACCCTTGTTTACACTATCAGTTTCTCACAGTAGAGAAACTATTCGGTATTTACACGTGTGTCCTATTTATTTCACTTAAGAGTATGGCCTCGATATGCATCCATTTAGCTATAAATGACTCTAGTTTTTCATTCTTTATGGCTGAGTAGTACTCCATTTTATAAAAAAAGCACATTTTCTTTATCCAGTTTCCAGTTGATGGTAGCTATTACAAACTGTGCCGCTATGAACATGGGCGCACATATATCGCTGTGGTATGATTCTTTTAATTCTTAGTATGGGAATAGCTGGGTCAAATGGGACCTCTAGTCCTAGTTCTTTGAGGTATCTCCATACTGATTTCCACAGTGGTTGCACCAGTCTGCACTCCCAACAACAATGGAGAAGGGTTCCTTTCTCCCCACAACCCCACCAGCATGTTATTCATTGATTTCTTGATAGCAGCCATTCTTTCTGGGGTGAGGTGGAATCTCAGGGTTGTTTTCATCTGCATCTCTCGACTGACCAGTGATGTTGAACATTTTTTCATATATTTGTTTGCTGCTTTTACTTCCTTGTCTGAGAAATGTCTGTTCATTTCAGATGCCCATTTTTGAACTGGGTCTTTGAATTTGGGGATCTGATTTTTTTCAATTCTTTATATATTCTAGATAGTAGTCCTTTGTCTGAGGTACAGCTGCTAAAACTTTTTTCCCATATTGTACGTTGTCTGTTAGCTCTGTTGGTGGTTTCTTTTGCAGTGCAGAAGCTTTTTAATAAGATGAGATCTTGGGGCCTAAATTCTGATGCAGTCATTTGTGTGAAGTTAGGTATAGCAAGGAATCTATTGTTGAATTCTATGATGAACAATCTTCTCAGGATCAGTAATACCAACTGTCAAATCAAACTGATCCTCTTGTTCTTCTTCCTCTAGCTCGTCATAGTTTGGCTGGGACTTAGAAGAATTTGTGGCTTCTTGTGGAGGCAGAGAAATGAGTGTTTTGGCTGTGACCTTCTGATTATTTTGTGTGCTGTCCAGGGATAGTTCCACTGTGGCATCTGCAAAGAGATCTTGTGGCTCTTGGTCTTGTTCCTTATGAATGCCATTTTGGAGCCAGTGTTGATGGGAAGTAAGGATGCAGTTCTCTTTGGAGACTGGGGCTTACTGGCCGCCGCGGCGCCAGTGAAAATGTCCTCTCCTTCAGTGTCGCTGTCCCCAGCCTCGGGTTGTGAACCCCCAGCCCCCGCGGACTGCGGAACCAGGCCAGGAAAAGGCGGAGGGAGTCTCTCCGCAGCGCTACAGCCAACCACCTCCCAATGCCATCTTCCTCCACCCACGCAACAACAACTTTATAGAGAGAGAGCGCCACGAGCAAAGCGTTCCAGTGCTGCGAGGAACTCTGTCCTGTATCAACTCTTAAAAGAGTACTGACATCTCCAATTATATCTATGGATTTGTCTTTTTTCCCCCTTTTAAGCCTACCAGTTTTTGTTTCACATATTTCATAGCTTTATGTCTACTAGTTTCTGCTTCACATATTTATGGCTCTACTGTATGGTATAAATAAATGTAGGATTGCTGTTTCTTTCTGTATCACTCCTTTCTTGCTATATAATGTCTCTTTTATTGGTAGTTTACTTAGATGTTTATCAGATACTAATATAGTAACCCTTGCATTTTTTTTGTACAGGGGATCGAACTCACGACCTTGTGCCTGCGATCTTGCATTTTTTAAAGTAATGTTTGTATAGTCTGTCTTTTTCCATCCTGTCCCTTCCAGCCTATTCAGTTCATTATATCTGAAGTTGAGTTTTTTGTAGGCAGGTCACTGATCCTTTCCTTTGTCCCCTCACTCTGCTTCTGAGCTCACCTACTCAAGTTATTATTTCAGCTTTTGTATTTTTAGTTCTAAAATTGCCACTGTTTCTTCTTTTTATTTTTTCATGCTTTCATTTGTTTCCTAAGTGGTCACAGGGTTCATTAAAGCATTTTTATGATGAATGTTTTAAAATCTTTTGTCAGACAATACAGATATCTGTTGTCTCCTGGGTGTTGATGTCTATTGCCTTTCAATTGAAGATTTTTTGATTCTTGGTAAGAAAAGTGACTTTTCAATTGCAGTCTGGACATCCTGAATATTAAGATTCTGGATCTTATTTTCTTGTGTTCTGGTAGCTTCCTCTGGCACTACACTTTAGTGTTAGGCAGCAGTGGAAGTGCAAATTGTCCAGAAGCACTTGTTACCGTTGGCTGCCTGTGAAAGGCCTCCACTGAAGGGAGGACTGACTTGATACTGCCAAGGACTGACTCATCAAGGCTCTGTGTACAGTAACTGTGACTTGACAGTTATTATTAGTCTTTATCTGCCTTTCACCTCTACTGAACCACTACTAATGAATATATAGCCTTCATCAAAGCTCATCCTTTCCACAATTTTATGACACCATCCTCTGAATTTCTCTTCCTACTTTGAAAATTATTCATGAGACTTTTAAACTCCTCTATTATATCTTAAAATCTACTCTACAGGGCCTGTGCTTATAGCTATTTTTCTATATCCCTACTTAAGCAATTCCATTCATTCTTACAATTAAAATTACTTATAAAATAAACCTTCCTAGATTGATGTATCTTCAGTTCAGAATTCAACCAACCTCTAGCTGTGTAAATCCTGTGGCCTGCCTTTTCCTCCCCTTTTAAAATTTATAATAAAAATTTTTTTTTTAAAGAAAGCATTGTTACATATACATTCTTTAACAATATTATGTATTTTACTTGTGGCCTATGACAATTCCTTGTCACTCAAAAAAGATGAAGGGGGAGGGTGGCAAGTTACAGGTTGGACATGGCTGCCCGAACTATATATTCAACTGTGTATTGGAACAGTCCATTTTTTTTTTTTTTGGCTCTAACACAGATATCTAAAAGGGAACTTATCCCCTCCCCACCCAAGTCTGTTCTGCTTTTGCACTACTGCTTTAGTCTGTCCCAACTTTTTTCTGGTACTGGGGATCAAACTCGGGACCTTGTGCTTGCAAGGCAGGCGCCGAAACCATATTTCCAATGTTTTTTACCAGGTCTTATGAGCCAGAAAACTCAGTTATCTGGCATCCATTTAACCAGTTCTGGAGTCCTAATGCTATGTGCCATGCAACTCTTACTCATAAAATATCTTATCGTTTCTTCTTCACTCCAAGAAAAATGTTAATTGGGATTCTTCAATCACCTGCATTTCCTTAAATGATCTCCCATTAAGACTTTCAAAATGCACATGCCTACCAAAATAGCCTTAAAGAAATTCAACTATAATTACTATTTCTCTGATGAAAATTTCATCTGCTTTCCCCAAACAGCCAGGTAAAATCACTAGTAGGCTATAAAAATCAATTCAGCAGGTCTCCACAACCATGTTTTAAACACTGTTTTCTGAAATACACTGAAACAAACTAGACAGCAATGAATATAATGATGCTACATTCTGTTCTGTTTCATATGCATGCCTATTTTATAGCATAAACCAGTAAAAGCAAAGATAAGCTACTATTTAGGAAAACTTTCTACCTGCTGGGCATTTTGCCTATACCTGACACGCACTACCTCATTTAATTCTTACAATACTTTTAGATACTACTTTCACTTTTAAAATTTGGAAATAGGTATGGACAGATTAAATAATTTATCAGACGTCACACAGGAAGTGGCAATGATTAAATTAAAAATCCAAATAATTTAACTTTAGAAAACAAAAACGTATGTTGGAATGTTAAAGATTTTTGTTAAAAATGTGTTAGAAGGTGAGCAGAAAAGTAACTTACTTCAAGTAAAAGTCTATAATAACATCATTTAAAAATTCTCCTTCACTTAGACAGTGTAGGTCTTCATTAGTAACAGAGATGCCCCCCTTAGAAGGAGGTGGTGGATACACTATCAACCTATAATAAAAAAAAAGCAAATAAATAAGGCTTTATGTATCTATGTAACTAAATGGAAGGAAATACAGACAAAGCTTTAAAGTATTGCAAATGTGAAAGAATTCTCTCACTTTTCCACAGGCCCAATGAAGATGGTATGACTTTCTCCAGATTCTTCCTCATCATCAAAAAACTGGAATTCCCGTTTGTTTCTAAGTTGTATTTTAGATTCAAAGGACATCTGGTAAAGGAAATTAAGGTATTAATTCACAAGATTAGGAAAATGTTCTATAAAAAGATCAAGGGCAAAGCATAGAAAGCTTTTCAAATAGAAAGAATTAAAAATATGAATCTAGCAAAGGATACATGATTTTTTTTTGGGGGGGGGTACGGGGATGGAACTCAGGACCCTTGTGCTTGCGAGGCAGGCGCGGTGCCACTGAGCTAAATGCCTGGCACGAGGATGCATATTTAACAAATAAAAAATGACAAAAAGGCAGGACCAAGGGCCACTTTCTGTAGCTTTCAGATGATATTCTCCCCCAAAAATGTTAATAATGGTTTTCCAGTGACTTACTGCCATGAGATTTCTACTATTCCTTATTAGATTCTGCTAGTAAGATTCAAGGAACATTTAAAAAATCAAAGTGATATTTTTCTCCTAGCAGTAGAGAGCTACCTAAATCAGTTAATCACGGGATGTGGGGGCAGAGGTTAAGGGACACTGTCTACTGAGTTTCAGTAGTAATTTATACTAGTAAATTAAGCAGAGGGTCTTTACAGGGAAGAGCGTTCTATTGAAATCTGAGTCCATCACAGATGATTTAAGGCTTCACCTACTCTTTTCTTCCTCTGGCATTATCTCCCACCTACAACTCTGCAAAAGGAGAATGAGTCTCCTTTCTCCTTCTGCCTTTTCCCTAATCCATGAACTGTGTGTGATGCTTTGTTCAACTATCAAGATTGTGCCTTGCACAGCCACATTTCTAAGTTGTAAGCCAGGCTGAGGTTTATACCCGATAAAGTCAGAAAAATTCAGCAGCTATGGTAGTACTCTGGCCTTTGTTTCACACTTAAATATTTGAGAAGATTCTATATAGCTGGATACATATTTTGACAAATTCAAACAATAGATATTTTTTTAGTTCCCAAGTTTTCAACTATGTACACATCAACTATAAATATATCACACCATCCACAAATGACAAAATTCCTGTAAATCTAAGACACAGGGCAACAATGTGAATGTCAAAGCGCACACACACACACACACACACACACACACACACACACAGAGACACACACATATATGTGTAGGGAGTGGGGTGTAAATTAAAAGGATGAGAGAAAAGGAAGACAAAAGAACAGAGTGTGAAGAGGAACTAAAAATGCTTCTAAAACTTATCCATCTTTTTTATTTTTTATTTCAACTGGGATCCAACCCAGGGGCACTGTAACACCGAGCTACATCCCCAGCCATTCTGAGACAGCGTCTTTCTAAGTTGCCCTAAACTTGTAATACTCCTGCCTCATCCTTCTGAAGAACTGGGATTAATGTGCCACTCAGCTTGGCCATCATTAATTTTTTTTTTTTTTTTTTTGGTACCGGGGATTGAACTCAGGACCTTGCACTTTTGAGGCAGGCGCTGGAACCACTAAGCCAAATCTCCGGCCCCAATCATTAATATTTTGATGCAAGACAGTTTACACATCATATATAAAAACAAATTATGAAATGGAATTTTAAAAGCATTAAAATGAGCAGCACTATAATAAAGCATTTCCCTTTTAAACAATCCATACTTTAAAATTATTTTTTAAAAATTTAAACATAATTACAGTTTTAACTTTTTCTTTTTGCATACAACTTCCTTTGATGTTCTCTTCATAGCTTCTTGTACATGCAACAAGTCTGCTATTGGCTTCTTCGAAGAGAATTTTTGCAAAAAAATTGGGAACATTATTCTTTATACCAATGTTATTAATGATGTTCTCAAATATCACATTTGTCTGAGGATCAAGGCTATTTTGGAAAATTAAAATGATGTACTGTTCTTCCAAATCTGAAAAGAAATAAAACTAAAATAAGTACAAAAAGAGTTAACAATTAATTTCCAAGATCATCATAAGTCCTGGAATAAATATTCAAAACAATCTTTGGCATATAATAGATATAAAATAAATACTGGAATAAAAGGAAGATCAATGTTACCTGACAATGTCATCTAAGTTATAAAAAAACCAAACAAACCAAAAAATAAAACCACCCAGCAGCTTAAGAATACATCTACTCATGATGTAACTAATGTGTTATTGAATAGGATCTAAATCTATTTATAACCTTAAATACATCAGTTTATATTCTGTCCAACTCAAATAGGAAATTTGCCAAGTGAACTGGTAATATCTCAGGAATTTAACTCCAAAGCTGCTATTCACTAATGTGTCAACTTTTGCAGCTTTAATAGTATTCATTCATCATTAAGCTGAAACAGCAATTACTGCTGAGATGTATTTATTTTATAAGCAGTTGTGCCATACGACCCATTTCATAGGTTAAAGGAAACAAACTGGAGAAACACATCTATGGCTTGTACAAGATAAAGGCTCTTTCTATGAACCTGGAGACATTTTAAGCCTCATTTTAATGATTCCAGATTTATATGGTTGATTTATACTTAACAGTCCTGTAAGTTAAAGACACTGACTTTACTCAGATTTGAGTGTTATAAAGAGTACAGATCTTTTTGAGTTTAATCCATTTTGAAAACTTTCTAGTGTGTAAACTTGGATTTTATCTTCAATTTTGTTTTCTATAGGCATTTCCTCACCTAAAAAAATGGAAGCAGTAATTCTATTTTGCAAGGTAGTTGTAATACATTCTAATAAATGATGTGAATGACCTTAGAAATATTGCTTCAAAATACGTATGCAGTCATGCTGCTTTGGACTCAGTCTTCAATTTCTTGGTGTACTCATACTCTTAGTATTCAACAGATTGTATTATCATACTACAAAGTATTGTATATAACTTACTTGTTAACTTATTTATTCCTTTACAATCATTCCATACTTTATCCTCCTTATTCATCTGCAGTTGCATGCTCAGCTTTTGATAAACTGTTGGTATCGTCTGAAGAAACACTACTGGTAATTTTCGGACATTACACCATTCACATTTAGTTAGATCAGAGGTATTTAAAATGATCTCTACAGGATCACTTTCTGGTTCTGGAGGAAAACAAATGGAAATGGAAAAGGAATCAATTCTTGGACAGTAGAATCCTAAGTGGAGGAAATACAAGTTTAATCATGTTATTTAATATGCTTTGTAAATAATGTGTAAACATACTAAAGAAACTTCTAGCCAGGCATGGTGGCCCATGCCTATAACTCAAGTACCTGGGGGATGCAGCAGAAGGACTGCCTTGAGTTCAAGGCAAGCCTGGACTACATATAAAGACTCTGTCTCAAAACAAAACAAATAAAAAGAAAAAAGAAGGAAGGAAGGAAGGAAGGAAGGAAGGAAGAAAGGAAGAAAGGAAGGAAGGAAGGAAGGAAGGAAAGATTGATTCTACATTTTTTTCCAAATAAAAAGGGGACTAAAACAAATTAGGTTTTGCTATGTTACAAAATGAAATCATACTAAGATGTGTAAGAAGATTTATGTAATGACTAATCATCTTAATGAATTCTGTAAATATTTTTAAATCTTTTATTACTGCAAAGTGATTCAGTATAAACAAAACTTTAGGGTATAAACAGATAAAAAATAGCTTACCATCCAGATGTATCTTGATAAAATCTACAGAAAACTAAAAAATTAAGATAAATTAGTACTAATCATACACTTATGAAGATTTTGTTAGACATAAGTGACATATGTGCTTTACATCTACAGAAGGCAAAAAAACAGACATTTACTACATACTTAAAATTAGGATGAAGTATTTATATTGCAAAATTATCAGAAAGTGAAGCTTCAATTTATTAAAGTACTTAGAACTTTTATTGCATTACTAGCTTATCACTAGAGAAGCTGACAAAATATTACAACAAATACCTGGCTATAGTATTTCATACCTAGAGTCATTAACTTAATATTTTGGCACATTTGCCACATTGCTCTTTATACACATACTGCTTGCTCTTTCACCAAGCAAGAAACACATTGTAATATTTAATTTCCAAATAATTTAGCATGTATCTCTGAAGAACAAAGACCTCCTATGCAATCAAAACATTAGTAATACATTTAAGAAATCAAGACTAACTTCATTCAACATACAGTTCATGCTTAAATTTCTAAAACCAGGCCAAACTGGCTTTTATTTTTGTTTTAATTCTTCCCCAAGACATGATTTTGTCAAGGCTATATTACTTATTTCTCTTGTCTGCTCCATTCTACATGAGTAATCTGCCTCTTTGTTCTTCATGACATGATCTTTAAGTTCTGCAAAACATCCAACATCCTGGATCTCTGTTTCCTAATTTAAAAATTCAAGCCATATATTTCCACCAAATATAGCATACAGGTGATGTGCTGAAACTTCCCCTGAAGAAGTATAAAATCAGAAGGCACATGTTATCTGATTAAATCAATTGACCAAGGCAGTAACTGCTGGGTTCTTACTCTGTAAAGATACAATTTTCCCTTTGTAATTAAATGATATGAAGAGAGACACTTGAAAGCAAATATCCTGTTCCCAAATTAACTCAATGGTGTTATTTCATTGAAAATCTGTGCCGAACTCAGTTATAACTGGTAACAATGGTAATTTTCTAACTAATTATTTCAATGTAAAGAAGACTTAACATTAAGCCTCCAACCTGAATAATCATTTTTATGTTTATAGAAAGGAGGAAAGTACTTTGAAATGCATTTTAAAAATAAGAGTGATTGATACAGAGGAATAAACAAGATATATGAAAAGCATGTGCAGTTTGTTCCTTGTCCAAAATGCTTGGGCCCAGAAGTGTTTCAGATTTTAGAGATTTCTGAATTTTAAAATATTCACCTATGCTTCACTGAGCAACCCTAATGTGAAAATCTGAAATTCTAGATGTTCCAAATTCCAAAACTTTACTTTTGTGCTGCTGGACATTGAACCTAGGGCCTTGCACATGCTAATGCACAAGCTCTAAAACTGAACTACACCTCTAGCACCCATCCAACTTTAAAAAAAATGGGATCTTAGTATTTGCTCAGGCTGGTGATGAACTCCTGGATGCAGTGATTGTTCCTCTTGTCTCAGTGTGTGAAGCAGCTAGAAATACAGGCACGTACCATCATGCTCTCCAAAACTGAGTGTCATTCGAACATGGATTTTTCAGTTAATGATGCTTAATCTGTATACTATGACACCAATGGTAAAACATAACTGGAAATATATATTCACTGTAAAATTCTTTGAAAAATTGGAAGCTTTTCATAATGTAAAAAACAAAACAAGAAAATATAAAGTTCGTAATAACTAAACCAATTACCAAGTCTAGAATGTTACTAAACATATGTTTTAAAGATTTCTCTGAAAGCAACATGTTAATTGAAGGGATGTAAAAAGAATTAAGGTGTGCTATGTACAGTATCAATTCCCTATGATGAATATATATTATGTACTGCAAATACATACTAATGAAAGTAAAAAAAATTTTTAAAAAGCAAGTAACAGGTTAATTGGCTTAACTGGAAAGTAATACATTATTTGGATGCTTCAAAGCAATAGCGCAAGGCTGTAATCCCAGCTACTCAGGCCTAGGAGGCAAGATGACTGAAAGGCTGAGGCCAGCCTATATAACTTTAACATACACAGAAGCTAAAGTTGCATTCTTAAGAAAAATGTTAGATGACTCAAAAAGTAGCAATAAAAATGAAATATACTAAATAATGATATAAAATATTTGAATAAAACTGTTGCACAAGATAAGGGAATTTAAAGACTTTTATCTGGGCATAGTGGTGCATACCTATAATCTAAGCACTCTGGGAAGCTGAGGCAGGAGGATTGTAAGCTTGAGTTCAGCCTCAGAATCTATGAGAAAACCTGTCTTAAAAAATTAAAAAAAGAGTACTAGGAATGTGGCACAGTGTAAAGGCCCTGGGTTCAATCCTCAGTTCTACCAAAATTTAAAAAAAAAAGAAAAAAGTGTCTTAAAATTTAAAAATTTAAAATTTGGGGGTATTAATACTAACATTACAAGTAGGCACTGGGTTATATCCCAAAACATTTTTAAAATTAAACTGACTGAAAAATTAGATTTCAGATTTTATTTTTTCATTTGAAAAACCAGGAAGAGTGTCAATGGGTTGGGGAGGTAGCTCGGCAAAGCTGCAATTGCCTGACAAGCACCAAGGTCCTAAATTCAATTCCCAGTACTGGAATAAACAAATAAATACTACTGTGTCAAGTGCCACGCCTATAATTCCAGCACTCAGGAAGCTGAGGCAGTAGGATTACTGAGAGTTCAAGGCCAGCTTGGGCTACATAGTGTGCTTTAAGCCAGCCTGGACTACACAGTGAGACCATCTCAAAAAGCAAAAAACAAGAAAAAAAAAAAGATAAATAAAAAAGGAAGAATGTCATATCTGGGCATATGTGATATTCCTAATAATGTAAACCATTTTACTTTTAAATAAATTCATTTATTTAAATATTTACTTTTAAATAAGCTTGGCATTTCTACCACTGATTGGATTAAATTTAAGTTATATGCAGGAATAAAATATTTGTCTTTTTAATTATACCATCTATAGAAATGATAGATTCAGTATACTTCAATGGAAGATGTCTTTTGCAAAAGTCCTATGCCACAAAAATTAATACCACATAGCAAATTTCCCCATTACATTTTTTGGCTGAAATACTTTACTTAGCATTTTAATTTAAAAAAAAACTGTATTAGTACATTTTATATTGTGCATATTACATTTTTGCATTAAATTTAATATTAATTCACTGTAGCATATAGAACCCAACCTGTAACTTGTAAGGGAAAAAAATTATCCAATTATTAATGTAGTTCTTGATAGATTTGAGACTAAAAGCTATCTATAGCTACTTTCATTAAAGGCATAAACTACCAACAAAACTTTATTTATCATACAGAAGAGTTATAATACTGTTAATATGAGAGAAAGTCATAAATCTACAAAGTACTCCAGGAAATTTTTGAGCTATAAAGTGACACAATGACATTTGTTGTTTTTTTTTTGGTACCGGGGATCGAACTCGGGTCCTCAGCTTGCAAGGCAGGTGCCAGAACCACTGAGCTAAATCCCAGGCCCAACAATGACATTTTTATCAAATGAAAAAACTTGGAAACATAATTTACAGTATGAAAATTTGTAGCAAAATACAAATTTTACCAATCACTGAAAAAACAATGTTACAATATTATTGGGCAATAAATGATAGTGTATATTTCTTTTCTTTTTTTTTTTTGGTACCGGATAGCGAACTCAGGTCCTTGCGCTTGCAAGGCAGGCGACGGAACTACTGGGCTAAATCCCCGGCCTGATAGTGTATATTTCATTTGCTTTAAATCTCTGGGATACTTTTGAAATTTTCTAGTTTTTAAATTGTGATAAGATGGAGTATTTTGGTGGAAACAAAAAAATGTTGAATTCCCACAAAGTTTTGTTCTGCTAAGAAATTATGTTCATATTTCATTTGCTCCTATAAACTCATCTGTTAAAATTTTTCTTTTACTTATAGTGTATCCTCAGAACCAAGAAACTTTAGCAGAAAATAAATTACTTATCATAATTTATATAAAAATGAAACCTTTTAACTTTCATGCTGTGATATTCTGTGCTCTCAAGGATACTACTTTATGTATAAAGTATCCTTTAAAATATCAGGAGATGGAAAATATAGTAAAGGACACCAAATTAAGGCATTATAGAATAAGCATAGTTTTAGGAGGATAAACCTACCAACAATGTTTGGAACACATCAGAAACAAGAAAACTGATGACAAAGAACACTGGTTAGGGAGTTTATATTAAAATTTCAAATAGAAGATGTACACCTGAATGGGATTAGTGGCAGTAAAGTAACAAGTAGACACTTACAACAGGAAGGATAAAGGATTATAGAAAATCCTTTAGGTGCTGTGGACACTGAATCAGTCTAAATCATAGTGCCTGTGGAGGTCCATTGTAATCCTACAACCAATTTCTAGAAGTCTTAAAGCTACGATAAAAAGCTTAAATTCTTTCTCTTACTACTGTTCTTCAATATATTTTTTTCATAAATTAAGGTGAAATGAGAATAAAATATACTGAAAGGTTTTCTAACTTATTAAGAGTTTTATGTGTCTTTCTACAGTGAATTTGTACCTACTTCAAACATTATACTATGATAAATTTTAATCTACTAATTTTTAATGAATACTTAAATACATACTCTCAAAGCAATTTCAAATCTTGAAATCAATTTGATATTTGATTAACTTAACAATTTAATTATTACAAATTAGACTTGACAGTGGAATTCTGAATCTTGTGATTAGCATAATAATTTAAGAATATACTTACAATTATAGGCTCTATTAATAGTCGAAACAGTGTTCCTACTCGTATACTTCGACAGCTTAAAATGACACTTTCAAAGGGACTTTGGCAGCTTAAAGGTATAGGATCAATTAAAGTTTCTTGAGAACTGACTTTCCGACGTTTTAGGGGTGTGGTGATAATAGGATTGCCAAACTGAAAAAGAAAATTTTCACTTAAGTTACCATAACAAGGTCACAAACTTAAACATAACACACATACAAACAAGATCCCATATAAAGAAATGTAAATGATTACAACATAGAATCTATTTTCCGTCAAGAATGTTAGAGGAAACAAAAATTTGTAGGTCTAAAATAAAAGTCAATACTTTCTATTTTATTTAGTAATATTTCAGTTATTTGAAATGAAAGTAATAGCAGAGCAGGTGGGTATAGTATTCCAGAAATCAGACCCACTGGGTTCAAATCACAGCCAAACCACCTGTTAATGAACTGGTAAAATTCAATAAAAACAAGTTTTACTTTTCTAAAAAGAAAAATATGAAGGATAAAGATTATTCACATTAGCCATTGTACATAATGGACTTTGCAGAGGGCTTTATGCACAATAAAATGCTGAATAAAAGTTAGCAATTAATAGTGACAGCGGTAGTACTTAAATCATCAAACTTTACAAAATAAGCAATTATAGAAATAGTTATCTGCAATACAAAAGGATGCTTTACATATTTTAACTTTACATATTTTTAGCTTTACATATTTTTACCTGATTTGTTAAATTATGATTTTGTAGTCATTTCCAAATGCAAATTAATCATAATACAAACTATTTTCTGTGTCTATAACTTTAATGAAAAACAATTACACTATAGATTGAGATACTTTCTCCAAAATGTTAGGAAGTAGAAGTATTTCAGATTTTGGATTTTTAAAAAAATTTTTTGAATATCTGCATAGATTTTACCAACAGAACACCCCTAATCCCAAACCTAAAATTTAAAATCTTGGGGTACCATGTCAGCACTCAAGAGTTTCAGACTTTGGAGCATTTCAGATTTTGGATTTCTGCATTAGGGAAAACTGAATATCCACAAGTAGAACAATGAAACTAGACCCCTACCTCTCACAATATACAAAAAAATTCAAAATTGATTAAGAACCTAAATGTAAGGCCTGGAATTATGAAACTAGCACAAAGAAACATGGGGAAAATACTTCAGAATGTTGAAATGAACACAGATTTAAAAAATACAGAGTCAAAAAACATAGAAAACAAGCAAAAAATTAAAGAAAGACAAAGAGGATTACATCAAACTAAAAGCTTTCACATAGCAAAGAAAACTTAGAAAAAAAACTATTAATAGGAAAGAGACAATATCCAGAAGAAAATACTTGTAATGTACACAACTGAAAAAGAATTGATATCTGAAATACACAAGGCAGGCAAACAATAGCAAAAAACCCCTCAATAACTCATTTCTCAAAAGAAGACACACAAATGGCCAATGGGTATATAAAATACTGTTCAACATCACTAGCAGAGAAATGCAAATCAAAACCACAATGAGATACGATCTCACTCCTGTAAGAATAGGTACTGTCAAAAAGACTTAAGGATAACAAGTGACGGCAAGGATATGGAGAAAAAGGAACCTTTGCACACTGCTGATGAAAATATAAATCATAAAGTTGTGCAGCAATTATGGAAACAGTATGGAGGTTTCTCATAAAATTAAAAGTAGAACTACTAAATAAATGACTGAGCAATCCTCAAAGTGAAATGAATATATCCAAAGGAAATTTAGTCTGCTGAAGAAGGAACATTTGAACCCTCACGTTTACTGCATCACTATTCACAATAGTCAAAAAATGGAAACAACTTAAGTGTCCATCAATTGATAAATGGGTAAAGAAAATGCAGCATGTACATAATGAAATATTATTCAGCTATAAAAAAGAATAAAATCTTGATTTTTATGAAAATATGGGACTGGAGATCATCATGCTATAGAAGCCAGTTGCTGAAAGACAAGTACCAGATAATCTCACTCATATGTGGAACCTAAAAACGCTGCTGTCACAGAAGCTGAAAATGGAATGGTGGCTACCAGGGACTGAAGAGTGTGTGGCATAGGGAAGGATGGGTCAAGGAGTAGTAGTAAGAAAAGTTCTGGTATTGCTACTGCATAGCAGGTGACTATTGATGATGATAATATATAGTACATTTCACACAGCTAGAAGAAAAGATTTTGGAAGTTTTTGGCATAAAGCAATGTTAAATGTTTGGGAAGATGGGTATGGTTAACCTGACTTAAACATTATACAATGTACATGTGTATTGAAACATCACACAGTACCCCATAATTATGCAAAATTTTTGTTTTATATATCAGTTTAAAAAATTAAAAGAATAAAAGCAAATGTGATTATATATCTCTGATTTTGTAAACTGCTTTTTTCAGGCTTACTAACAGGTCAGCATGAACATTTCCCCAAATTATTAATAGAAACCTATTAAAGAGGTTTTTAAATTGTTGGGTTTTGCTTGTTTTTGGTTTAGTGCTTCCCTCCCTTTGAGAGCTATTTGGCTTACTAATAAAACAGATTAATTTAAAAGTGGTCTAGTTGAGCTGGATATGATGATGCACGGCTGCAATCCCAGCACTCTGGAAAGCTGAGACAGGAGGGATCACAAGTTTGAGCCCAGCATGGGCAACTTTGGGACTTAACAAGACCATGTCTCAAAGTTAAAAAAAAAGGCCAAGGATATAGCTCAGTGCAAAGGTCCTAGGTTCAATCCCCAGTACCCCCAAAAAGTGCTCCAGCAGAGAAGAGCTTCTATAGTAGAAGGCTTGGGTCTACAATATGAGTGGTCCCCACCCTCCCACAGAGTGACTGACAAGAGCACTGGGCATGCCTTTGTGCTTCAGTGTGATAACTGAGAGCCTGGAAACTGTTCAAGTAACAATTTGATTACATAGAAATCCATTGTTTATCAAACTGAATGTTTCTATGGTGGACATCTGTATTTGAGACCTTTCTAATATTTCCCCATTATAAACTATCTCCAATGAGCATTTCTACAGCCAAATCAGAGTATATGGCTAGAATTATTGTAAAATTGTTCTCCAGCAAAGTTATACCAATTTAGGGCCGGGGATATAACTCGGCGACACGCATGCCTGGTAAGCGCAAGGTCCTGAATTCCATCCCTGGTACCAAAAACCAAAACCAAAACAACGGTATACCAATTTATAAACCTAACATACCATTTATCAAAATACTAAGATGAGTCACAGTCATACTTTAAAAACTGCTGGCAACCTGGACAATATTTAAATTCATATTCACTACTTTAATTGCTAGCTCTGTTGTACTTTATTCATTTCCTTAATTATTAAGTGGTTTGCTCCTAAGATATTAAAATTGCACATGTCAACTTTTTGTCGCACAATATATTATTCCGCCTCCATTTGCATTTACCTATCAAAGTCTTGTTTATGGTACTTTGGTACATTGTGTTCTGTTTCCATATTTTCTCTATATTCCTAGGAATCTTGACATACATACATGCATATTTAACTTTTTAACATCAAGTTTTATTAAAAAGTTATTTTTACAAAAGTAGGATAATATATACTCATTCCTGTATCTTGCTATTCTTACTCAATTCTCTGTAGAAATCCTAAAAGTCACTGACATATCTCTAGTTTTTATTTTTAATGGCCACCATCATATAACTATATCATGATGTATTCAGCTACATCCATATCAGTGGTCAATGATTCTTTCTGCAGCTGTTTGTTAATACATAATCATGTCAATATATACAGCTTTACATACTGGGGAAGAGGGTAGGAATTCCTTTGAGATTCTAGGGAATCTGTTATTTGGTCAAACAGTACATAGTTAAAAAAACTTTTAAAAATGTTTTTATATTGCTTTTCTTCAAAGGGCATAACTTTTTCATCAGCAAATTAGGAAAGGACCTTTTTCCTTGAACTGTTGCCAGCAGCACATATTATTTTACATTAAGCAAGTCTGTTTATTATATAGCTATGTTCCATTTTCTTTAAATTGGTCTTCCCTACTGAAAAAAAAAAAATGGGGGCAGGAAAAGTACTGAGGAATGAATCCGGAGCCTTCGTACCACCCGCCCTCCCTTTTTGAGACAGGCTTTCACTAAGTTTCCAGGCTGCCCAGGCTGGGCTCAAACTATCCTCTTGCCTCAGACTTCCAGAGTGTAATCTGTACTTTTCATGTGGTTGTTTCCTATCTGAATAGCCACTGTTGTCTGTTTTTTTTTGTTTTGTTTTGTTTTTGAGGTACCAGGGATCAAATTCAGGACCTTGCACTTATGAGGCAGGCGCAGTGCCACTGAGCTAAATCCCTGGCCTATCCACTGTTGTCTATTCCTATCCTTTGTAGTTTTTTCCCTGCAACTACAGACATTAAAGTATCTTTATGTCATCTACATTACAAACATTTGTCTAGATCATCTGTTCATAAATTTACATCATTCATGTTACCTGTTCCTTTGTGAATATTTTGAAAATTTTATATAGTAAAATATAAAAAAATTTAAAACTCAATTATAGTAAAATACATACAAACTAAAATGACTTCTTCCTGTCTATTAGCTTTTACTAGGAATCTCCTTACACATACAGATTGACCATCCCTAACAGGAAATCTAAAATGCTACAAAATCTGTTTTATTTTTATTTTTTATTTTTGGTACTGGGGATCAAACTCTGGTCCTTGTGCTTGCGCAGCAGGCGGCGAAACCACTGAGCTAAATCCCTGACCCTCTCTGTTATTTTTTTGAGCACCAATATTACGTCACAAGTAAGAGATTCCATATCTGGTCTCAAGTGATGAGTTGCAATGGAAATGTAGGCGCACTGAAAATATTGTGTAAAATTACCCTTGAGGATACATGCATAATTTTCATATGAAACATACTTGAATTTCCTCTTTAGATTTGAGTCCCATCCCCAAGATACCTCATTATGTAAATATTCCAAAATCCAAAGGGGAGAAAAGAAAGAAAAGAAATATAACACTTCTGGTCCAAACATCTTAGATAAGGGACATTCAACATGCACTGGCATTTTGCTGTCAGGTTAATACTTTTTCTTGTTGAATTTTCACACTAAATCCTTTAGTTTAACTGGTATTTTTGATTAGTCTTCCAGAATAATCTTCTAAGTGGTATTTAAGCCCTAATTAATGAATAATCTCAAATTGTTGCCAAACAACAAGAGATTTACATTCCAAAGGGGAGACTTTCATTTGAACCAATGTCCACATATGAAGACTACCTGGTCCTTCATTCTTGCTTTCCTTGGCAATGTGATGGTGTTTAGCTCTGATTCTGCTGGAATGCTTTTCGGCTGACGCTCGGCTCTGCAGTAATTTTCATTCAGTGCTGCTTCTACTTTTCCAGTGGATGGTGCTGGAGAAGAACACGCTGAGTCGGCAGGCTGAGGAGATAGGCTATCTCTTCTGTTACTCCTGTCATTGTCATCATCATCATCACTGGACAAAATGACTACGAGTATAAAGAAAATTCAAAATTTACATTAAAATTTTATTTGCAATGTAATTTTATAATTCATTTCTATCAGTTAAAAAGTAAATAATCAGTGGGAAATACCCGATTTACTTTGAATCTCCTCCAGACAAAATTAATAAAAATGAAGATAAAATCCTTTATCTGACAAAAATTAAATTAGAAGAAAGCATACAACTTGGCATCTTTTAAAAAATACACAAATGTTAAGTTCATTCTATAGCCCATTACCACTAACCCAGACAGACATCAGTAATTTACAAGAATTAAATGTTTATCAGTTAAGTCTATTTCAGAGTTCCAGTAAGTTGAAAGTGTAACAGTAATTTATATATACAAATTATTCTGAAAATCACATCTCTTAAATATGTGAAACTTCATGTGACCAAAAAAATTTATCACAAAAAGAAATTGCTAAAATTATACAGTGCCTATGCTCAATAAATCTTGTTGAGCAAATGAACACAGAAAGAAAGAAATACATTATGAAGGTAATCTGCTCTTACACTTTTTTTTTTTTTTTTTCCCGGTACTGGGGATCGAACTCGGGACTTTGTGCTTATGAGGCAGGCAGCACCACCACTGAGCTAAATCCCCGGCCCTCTGCTCTTATACCTTATAGTCATTACTGAAACTTAGCAAACCCATCTCTATATTATTCCCTGGAACCACCCATACTGTATTTGAGTAAAATCCTAATTTCTCACTATGGTTTAAAACCTGGCCCCTATTTGTATACCTTTCCCAATCTACTCCAATTCTCTCTTTATGCTCAAAGAATACTAGCCAATCAGTATTTTTGTTTTTCAAACACCACAAGCTTGTTCCCTTTACCTTCCAACTCTCTGTATTTTTATCAACAAACACTAGCTTAAATGTCACTTCTGACAACTCAGTCTAAAGTAAACCCAGAGATATCAAGTCACACCAACTGATTCAAATTTTGTTGCTCTTTGTTGTGAATGTTTTACTTACTCACTTGTCTTTCCTCTCTACATACAAACCATGACATTAGGACAGTCTTATTCAGTGCTATATACCAAGAATCTAAAACATGCCACACATGTGTACACACATGCACATTAAAATATCATGTGAAGAACACATGAACTTGTAAGTACAGTCTTTAAGTTTCCTATACAAAAATCTGACTTGATATTTATTGATTACTGTACATTTTCCAGGCTATCAGACTTACATCATTCTGCTTATTTCTTTTGTTGTTCAGTTTCAGAAGCAAATGCAGATGCTGGATATATTTCAGAGCTGGCTATGTGGCTGTCTCTCTTCTTTATGAAATTGTGGACAATAATTGTTGCAAGGAGCAAATGATATATATAATGCTTGGCACAGAGTCTGATATGTATGCATGTTATGTGTGTATGTAAATATATATGTACTTTTACAACCACACATGTACAGTCTCTAATATAGCTATTAGAAAGTCCATGGACTATATTTTGAAAACCTACATAGAAGTATATATTAAAAATAAAGCCCAGTGTCCTGTCAAGAATGTTTTATGATACCTGAGAGCCACTAAAACTTCTGAATCTGTACTGTATATCAAAAACTTAAAACCTCAGCCAGGTGTGGTGATGCAGCCCTGTAATCCCAACTACTTAGGACGCTGAGTCAAGAGCATCTCACATTTGAGCCAGTCTGGGCAGTTTAATGAGAACTTCTCAAAATAAAATTTAAAAAGGGGTTGGGATGTAGCTCAGTGTCAGAATGCTTACCTAGCATGTGCAAGGCCCTAGGTTCAAATCCCTGTGCCATAAAACAAACCACAACAAAAAACCCTTAAAGCCCCAATGCTTTCAGAGGATGGTATAATACAGTTTTGTATTACAATAAGTAAGGGTTGTGATTAATGTTGCCATGATTACAAAGCAAATAGGAATAATGTACGAAGATGTTATATAATTCAACAAATGTTCTCATAGTTGCTTTTATTCTTTTTTTTTTGGTACCAGGGATTGAACTCTGGTCCTTGTGCTTGTGCAGCAGGTGGCAAAACCACTGAGCTAAATCCCTGGCCAACTGCTTTGATTCTATATGAAAAAAACCACATATGATCTTGTCTCAGGATATGCTATGAATTTAAATTGTGCTCCCATACAATCTATATTTTGAAGCCCTGACCTACAATGCGACTATATTTGGAGATAAGGCCTTTACGGAAGTAAAAAAAGGCCAAGTGAGTTCCTAAGGGTGGGGCCTTAATCCAACAGAACTAGTATCTTTGTGTGTGTGGTACTGAGGATTGAACCCAGGGCCTTCACAGGAGCTACATACCCAGTGTGAAGCGCA